CGCCGTAATATAGAGTCGGTTTTCCGTAAAAATCCGTTTAAAGCCAAATTTTGTTCCTTTTTGTTCTTACCGTTTTTTTAGTAGTGCGTTCTGTTTCCGTATTTGGTTTTCTTCTGTATTGTGTATGTGTGCCTGCGTGGAGAGAATTTGTCGCCGCCGCCCCAGTGTGGAGATTCTGGACCACTGCGCCACAAAGGTAGGAGCTATCTCCTTACCTACTATTTTTTTATTGTTCATTTGCGCGTGGGCGAGGGCGATAGGACCCCTGGCCCCAGTCCCCTGGCCCCAGTGACGAGGACCCTAGAGGCCGCGAACGGTCTACGTCGGTACCGTTCCCCCCTAATCTATTTCTTTCGCTTCTGTATTTGGTATTTAGGACCAATGTCCCCTTGTTGTCCACGGCCCCTAAGAGGGCGTGCTCCCTGCGGACGAATACTTCGGCTTTTCTTTAGTTTCTGTCTTTCCTTTGTACTTGCGCGTACCGTGAGCCCCCGCGCCGCGAAAGCCTCCAGCCTCCCTCGCAATTGGCGAGTCGATCTTTTTTCCTCGACCGTTGCTTGTAACGCGTGGGGCCCACTCCAGTTTTTTTTCTGTCCTGCTTACGTGGCCTACTTAGGGCCCGAATAAAAGCCTTTTCTGTTGGATACGAACTCGCGGGTCTTTTACTCATGCGTGGATCGTGGAAGAAGCCAACAAGGAAATGGAATTTGGAGATGCGATACTACCACATATTTATAAGCCTGAAATTCTATGGAAAGCCAAACAGCTTGTAGCAGATAAAGAATTAGGTAATAATAAAATTTCTGATCCCTTATATAATTTATTGAAATTGAAAGAGGAAAATTTGGAAGTAATGCGTACTATAAAGCAAATAGGAATTAATGACATATTTATAATGTATTGGAGCCCAGAACAGGCTTATTTATATAAACAAGTAATGAAGCAAAAACGTTACATATGTAGTCATGTACGTATAGATGCTACGGGATCAATTGTGAGAAAAATTAAAAAACAGACGGTTCTAGTAAAATAATATTGCTATATCAAGCAGTGTACCATTTGAAAATCAAGTTCTCCCAGTTTTTCAAATGATTTCCGAAAGACATGACATTAATGTTATAACGTTTTGGCTCAGGGAATGGCTACGATCAACAATGGTTTCAGTTCCGTCCAGTATTGTAATAGATTATTCTCTCGCATTACTGAATGCCGTAGTTTTAGCATTTAATAATGTAGATTTAATAACATACGTAGATAATTGTTTAAATCATTTAAAAACTAATAACTTCGCATTAAAACCAAGGAGCATAATTCTAGTCTCTTCAACGCACGAGATCTAGACTCACCTAGCTGAGTTACCTTGTCGTTAAAGGGTAACGCTAAAACATACCGGCCGTCGGCTCGTCCGGTGATATGTTGTGTAAAATGAGATTCGCAATATTCATCTGTCTTGGAGAGGATCTGAACTTGTGGTCCTTCTTCAATTTCCCAGAAACGTGTTAGAGATGATTGAAGCGTCTTGTTTGAATGGTAAGTTAAGCAACGTCCCTGTGATGTTGTGGATGGACTTCCCCCTATTACCCATCCAAATCTTGTTTTTTGGAGGTATAGATCGGGACCATTAGGAGGAGAAAGATTTATTTGTCCTATACTAAGTAAAGACAGCGCTGCGCCAGAACCGAGTAAAACGTGTATCGGTCCTGGTCGATGAAAGGTTGGGTCTGCTAATTTTATGTTTTTTGGAATTTTTAGACTTTGTGTGTTGACAGGTTGGTCAGGGACCAGGTCAGCAATTTTTGGAATTGTTAGAAATGTCAATGTTCTCTGGTAATCGTTGATCCTTGATTGAATGGTTGCCGTGACCGTGTGTTTTGCGATTGTCGTCATCGAATTAAGAGCACCGACGGGAATGGAGCATTCCTTTTTTGGAATATCAAGCCGTTTCGCGAGGTCCTCAGTTATAAAGTTTGTGGTAGCACCGGTGTCTATTAACGTTCGGCAATCAACGGGTTGTTGTTTATTATCTAAAATATGGATTTGAGCAGTAACGAGTAATTCATTATTAACAGTATCTATCATGTAATTTCTAGATCGGCTTGACCCTTTCGGACTCCTACGCATCTCTTGTCATTCGTCTTCTACCTGCGCTACGGGTGATGTCGCACGGCTATGCATCGGTGTATGTTCGTGACATTCTGATGAGTTTCTGGGTTTATGCAATAACGTGTGATGTTGCTGCCGACATATCCGACAGAATCCCTTCTTACATATCTCCGGATTATGTTCGATTCGAAAACAATTTTGACATAACGATGCCTTCTTAACTGCTGCAATCCTTGCGTCCACTGACCACGAATGGAACCTTTCACAACGCCAAATTCCGTGAATTCCGTGGCAAATTGGACATTTCGCAGGCGTCGCGGTCGTCGCAGGATTTGAAGAAGTCGCGAGAGTCGTGCATGGACTCGTTGTGCTTGAATTGTACTCTTGCTGGGAATGATTAAATGTGTTCGTAGTTACAAATGCGTGAGATCTCGTGGGGTATCGATTACCGGAAGGTTTCGCGGGTGCAGTACGATTATTCTGTCCGAACGTACAAATGGTCTTTTGTGAACTAGGTGGCACGCAACTTGCTCGCTTTTCTAAGAAGTCAAGAAATTGTATGTAAGATGGCATTTCCTTATCTTTCAATGACAACTCCCAATGCCACGCGGTGTCGCTGCTAATTTTTGACAAAATGATGGTCACCAGTATACAGTCCCACGACGAAACGTCGATACGTAAATTCTTCAACGACCTTAGGTTCTGGCGTATTGTGTCGACAAGTTCTCCTAATGCTTCTGGCGAATCTCGTGATAATTTAGGGAATGACAAAATCGCGTCGCAATGTTTAATAAGAATTTTACGTTTACAGTCATATTTTTCTTTCAATAACTCAATAGCATCCGCGTAATTTGCATCCGTCGTGCTTAAACATTGAATACACGCGGCAGCCCTTCCCGCTAAGGTTGATCTTAAGTACTGCAATTTCTGCACTGGGGTCAAATCGCAATTCTGATCAATCATCGACGAAAAACTATCAAAAAATGAGCTCCAATTCTCTATGTTTCCATCAAAGGTAGGTAAACGCATTTCTGGTAATTTAATTGTCATTGGCGCGGATGCGGTCTGAACGGAGTCCGTTGTATTTCGTCGCGGAGCTATGCTTGGCTGTTCTCCCTCAATCAAAACGTTTGCTTGCGCGATCATGGAGATATATTTGTTATGTATTTCGAAACGACGCGGTGCTTCGGATTCATCAAGTTCCTCTAACTCAAACTGTATGGCGTCGAAACGTTCCCAAATTTCGTGCATGCTCTGGACATGTGCGTTCAGACTGTCGTTCGTTCTCGATAATCTTTTCTAACATCGTAATATGTCCGACGATATTTCCACGCTTCCGTCGTAGGGAACTAGTGTTAATTCCCTGAGAGGCGGACTGACTGGTGGATTATTCTTTAGGCATTGTGGAATTAAGGAATGACGGAGATTGGCGAATGAAATTGAACCTATCTTTGCGATGCGATGACTTTGGATTGCTGCAGTCCTGACCAGCGTTCGGTCCCTCTGGAGTCCCTTGACGAAGATGTTGCGTCTAGGTCCTAAGTTAACTTTGGTTGGCCAGCCTTGATGTGGTCTGCAGATATCTCGTCGTTAGAGGTTGTGTAAGAGAGATCGCTCTTGGATGAAGTAGAAGATGCAGACTATGCACTATCGAGCACTCGCGACACAAAGTTCAAATGTCAAAGTCTCACTGCACAATATTTACTGTTTTATTGTCTTTTTAAATCACTGTATCCGGCTCGAAGGACCAAATGTTTTTTACGTAATACGCGGCACGCTGCGACTATACGGACGCTGTGGTTGCCTGAAGTCAACAAAGGTCGTAAATCTTTGCCCGATTTTTTAATCGACAACGTACCGAGTATTTCCCTACGACCGTTTAAAGTGTTCGGGATAGTAGGTGGTGTCTTTGAAAAATAAAGTCTTGTTTTCTTGGAAAACTAATAAACTATTTTAATATTTGAAGGAAAACACTTATAACTAAGATAGAAAAATAACAAATGTAATTGTGTGGTGTACGTGTACTGTTAAGGTTAGAATTTACGTGGACAATTTTTGATATAGATCTTTACTGTACGACAGTTTTTCCGAAAGTGATCCTGCGAGATTTGTTTTTAAGGAGGAAAACCAAGAAAAGTTAGAAAATGTGGAAAATGTTCTGATTGGCTTCACTGTTTGCCAATAGTATCGCTTAAAAAAGGACAAGCAACAAAAGTACAAAAAGTCCAAAAATCGTGATTCGTAAAACCGTAAGCCGTAAACTGTAACCGTAATTGTAATCGAAATCGTAATCGAAATCGTAATCGTAATCGTAATCGTAACCGTAACCGTAACCGTAACCGTAACTGTAATCGTGATCGTAATCATCGTTGCACACTCGCTCGTTTCTCGTTACTCTCTATTAGCTTCTTCCGCTCGCACCGCGGACACACCCTTATATTCCCGCGACACGATTCGCGAATCTTCGGTTATTCGAAGCCTCGCGATCGTTTCTTAACGTTCACCGCGTTTTTATTCTCTCTCTCTCTCTCGCACTCACACTCATAAACGCACGTACACGGGATGACACGCTCGTCGGCAACGAATTTGCGCGAAGTGCTGTTTATGTTTTCGTTCTCGAACTTTCGTGGTACGTTCGCGGCACGACCGTTGCCACTGTCCTACAATATAGCACCTTTCAATAGTAGCATAAACGAAATTGGAGAAAATAATATAGTCTGCGAAAATAGCACATTATTTTCTTTCAATTCTGTGCAAATAGATAATAGTTTAACTGATATCTCAACACCCTCAGCTGGTAATGATTTAAATAAGGATACAACAGATACGGTAGTAACTAAAAGAAAATTTATTAATATAGACGAGAATAATAAAGAAAATATAGATTTTAATCATTCTGACGATACGTACGAGTCAGTCCAGAAGTGGAAAACGTAACTGTATATTTTAACGAAATTTGATGGAGTTTCCATAGGGTATGGGTGCCGATTACCTGACGAGTATGACGGTCACCAGGGTCAGTTTGGCGACCCTTCGGAAACTCATGTTTATTGCACGGGCAATTGGCCGCTGAGGACTTCAAAAATCTAAAATATTCTAACTGTAGGATTAAGTAATAAACTACCTCTCAAAAACGGTCTTGTTAATTTGCGTGCAATGAACATGCTGGCAATTTGTAGTTTGGGTACTGTCCCTGGTACAAATTGCCAACCATCTGGATAAAAATGACGTTGACTGGTAGTGTAATATCGTCCGATATGATCCGGTTTAGTATCGTGCGGCGCGTCGCGGGCGCGCACGCGTAATGTTTATAATAAAAATCTGAGGAATTATAGGAGGAATTATATATATATATATATATATATATATATATATATATATATATATATATATATATATATATATATATATATATATATATATATATATATATATATATATATATATATATATATATATATATATATATATATATATATATATATATATATATATATATATATATATATATATATATATATATATATATATATATATATATATATATATATATATATATATATATATATATATATATATATATATATATATATATATATATATATATATATATATATATATATATATATATATATATATATATATATATATATATATATATATATATATATATATATATATATATATATATATATATATATATATATATATATAATTCCTCCTATAATTCCTCAGATTTTTATTATAAACATTACGCGTGCGCGCCCGCGACGCGCCGCACGATACTAAACCGGATCATATCGGACGATATTACACTACCAGTCAACGTCATTTTTAAGCATAAATAAGAAATAATTATATTTGTGTTATACATAACTGTTAATTTTATTAAATTTGTATTACAAAACATTTATTGTTAAAGAGCATAGGTATTCTATGTATATGTCAATTTTATAGGTAACGAATAATTTGAATAAGTTAGGGAACATAATCGTGGCAATAATGGAATTCTTCGAAAAAATGTTTCAAACACAACGGTTTCCGACATTAAGTATATGTAATAATTTGTACGTCACGGCATATGTATATGGCATAGTGGTTCATTATGTGATGCATAGCAAAATACGGGATTTTGAAAATGAGGTCTTGACGATATGTATCTACTTTATACCTAACTTTATATCGTCTTGACGATATGTATCTATAAAAATACTTTTCGTTAATCACGCATTACATATTGTGTTGCTCTATGTTATAAAGTGCTGATGCGGCCTTATTATCCGCGTGAACTTAATGCATAACTGTCGTTCGCAGCGGACTTGGGATTTTACCCAAGTTGTAACGTATATGCAAGAAAAAAAAAATATGGGTAGTGGGGAGGAGGTGGAACGTAACAAAGCTATTCCGATAAATAAAGAAATAATGTTATTTATGATTCTAACTGGAACTACAAACTATTTACAACTATTATACATGTACGGATTTCGCGTATGGAAAAATTTTGTTTGTCGCTTTTCGGACATAGTTGTTATATTGCAATATGACATTAATCTCCACACACGAGATAGCATTCTAGAACTACAATGACTTGTTCATAATCAGTTTTCTTCACCACGATTTGAAAATTTCATTTTATGATATAAAAGTGGATTCATATTGTCAAACCTAAGGCATGCCGTAAAAACCATGGACTCACCTGACCCCGTACTGAAAGAAGTAATCCAAGACGAGCCACTACAAAACAAAATGAAGCTCTACGCCAATTCCCTAAGAATAAATTCGCCAGCCACACTATCGGATATCGAAGCAGCCCGGAACCGGTTAAAGAAAGAAGAAACGGACCGATGGCAGCAGCTAATATCCCAGGGTCAGGGAGTAATCGACTTCCGTCAAGATAAAATCGGAAATATGTGGCTAAGAAACCCGACGCTGCTGAAACCATCAAGATTCATAGACGCGCTGAAACTCAGGACCAATACGTTTGGCAACAAGGCCACACTGAAGCGAGCAAAACAATGCACGGAAATAAGATGTAGAAGATGTCAAGCACTACCCGAAACGCTGGGACATATTCTCGGAGGATGCATCCACGTAAAACCGATGAGGATCAGAAGACACGACGAAATAAAGGATTTGATCGCGACCAAAGTAAGCAAAACACGCACGGTATTTGTTGAATCGACTGTTAATGTTTTAGGTGAGCTTAAGAAGCCGGACCTGGTGATCAAAGACCAGGGAAGGCTCTTCGTAGTCGACATTACGGTCCGCTATGAGGAACAAGCCAGCCTGGAACGCGCATACAAGGAGAAGGTCAACAAATACCAAACCACGGCGGAGTACATTCGATTAAGAACAGGATGCACGGAGGCCAAAGTACTGCCGATTGTGGTTGGTGCGAGGGGTGCCATGCCGAGGAAAACAGTCCGGAATCTTCAGGAGCTCGGTATTTCAAAGAAAGACTCATTGACCATCTCAATGATAGCGTTGAGATCGTCAATTGAAATAGCAAACGCATTTATCGACTACGATAAAATTGACTAACCCTCAAGGGTTTTGCGAAAAAAAAGCGGTCTTGAACACCTTAGATATAATTATCTATGCAATAAGCAAATAAAGCAAAATCTCGGTGATTGTATGTCTACCGCGCGGTATTCATACAGTCAATTATCAAATGTTCAAGACTGCAAGTAGTGACACGGTCGATGATGCGGTTGCTTAGTAAGCCCTTTGGAATCAAAGGTGCGAGTCGTATGGCCTTTCCGTCACAAACGCTGGAAAGTGCTGCGGCGGCAGAGCGGGTTGATTAGCATGCATCAACCCGGGCGGACGCCTCCACGTGGCTTCCCTGGTAACGCGCTCCTAAGGAGTGCGGCCAAGTCCGCTTTCCTTTCGAGAGGACTCTGTTCTGACTAATTTTTGCGATGGCCCTCAAGGGTGATGACGCAATGTGATTTCTGCCCAGTGCTCTGAATGTCAACGTGAAGAAATTCAATTAAGCGCGGGTAAACGCAATTTAACGGTCGTTTTTAGCAATTTTCTCTTGAAATATAGAATGAACCAAAATAGGCAGATGCCCCACGAAATTCCCGCTGGAAATCCACGGATGAATAGGAACGCTCGCCGCATGTACAATTACAACATGGAAA